ACAGAGAAAAATACTATTTGAAAAACAGACGGCAAGACTTTGAAAACAAGAAAAAAGTTCCCAGATGAGGCCTGAAGAAGCGATGAACTCAACAGAGGTGCAAGAAACAAAGATGTGGAAGCCGGGGACTTGAAAAGAGGCGACATTGACCAAGTCTTAAATCCAAAAGAGCAGTCAGCAATCAGAATCTACTATCCTACCCCCTCTGGGCTGAGTTTGCTTCTACATGAAATGCTTGCACCCTCCTAAGAGACTGGGATGGACGGTTCCCGATGGTCAGTTATGAAGCAGGGAACCTCCCTCTATGCCTTCTCTCCTACCCATCTGGCAAACATTACTGTCCAGTACCTTGGAGATGTATCATGCAACCCTTCTTTTGTCAACTGTGAGCACTTCCAAGTTGTCCCCCACTGTTATTGCTAATGACTCACAGGAGTCCCTTGTCTTCCTTGAGGGACAAAACCCTGTTAATGTTTTCTCTTGCTTTTTACTTGCTACAGTCCACAACAAGTCAGTTATCCTCCCTCTGAGTTACCTTCCTTGCTACAGTCCAGTATATTTCATGGGAATAATGGAACAGACACCTTCTAATTTTCCTTTGAAATACTCTTTGAAACCATCACAGTCCAGAAAATTATTTTTGTGGGTTGTTTTTGTCACCTTTTAAATAAGATTCGATTTGAGAATCATCAACTCATGACCCAGCGGACGTTCCTGAAGAGAAATGTCATTCTCAAGGACATATTTTTAGTGTGTGATGCTCAGACTGAGCTTATCACCCTTACCAAATAAAGATGTTTGTCAAGGTAGAACAGCAAAGGGAAGTTGAGAGCTATGACAGAGCATGAAGGTCGCTTACTACAGCCCCTTCACCTCCAGAGGCAGAGATGAGGGCTCGATGAGATGAGCCTCCATCCACATGATTTTGAACTAGGTTTCAAAGCTTTGGTAGCTCAGAGCCCTGTTGACTACTCTTTGATGCCAAGTTACTTTTAATCTTTTTGACTTGCCTTGTGTGGAAATTACTTGTGCTGTCCATTAATATTTCCTTTAGAGAACAAAGGAAGTGAGGAGTGATCATGAGGTTTGTGTTGGACCAATGAAATGTGAGCAGAAGTGAAGTGTTTCACTTCTTCTTTATGAACTAGTATGTACTTCCTCAGGTTCCCTGTCTGCCGCCATGGCAACAGACCAGGTACCAAATAATAGAGGTTCCACTAGAGGAGGACAATAAGGAGCTGAGGAAGGAGAGTGTGGGGCAGAGCTCCAGAGGGTTCACAAAGGACGTGTAGCCTGAGTGGAAAGTAATCCTTCCTAGTTTTAAACCGCTGGGATTGGGGTAGGGGATGGCGGGAGAACTAGTGTGAAATCGCCCAACCTTGCCCTACTCAGCCAGGTAAGGCTGAGTGATGCCATCATTCCCATGATGCAAATCTGTGCATGAAGATGTAAGAGGGTCTAGAACACAGAAAATCAGAATGCAGCTCCATGAGGCATTCCAAACTCCACACGTCACAACCATTCTTTCTTCTTGGCTTATATGAGGGATGGGGGATGTAGCTTATTACAAAGAATGAGTATTTGGTGGCCTCTCATTCTTGGAACCATTCTGCAGGTAAGTACTTCGTAGGAATCCCCTCGGCCCTACAGTTAAGCCCATAATGAATTAGATTATTTTAGGAAGGTCAATGCATTATGACCTCAAACGCATCATCCTGTAGTTACGTACCATCACCTGTGCAGCCATCTTTCGTTTCGCTGGAAGCTTTTTAATCTAGATCATTCTCAGCCCTTTACAAGATCTCTAACTTTATAATCCCCACCGTGGCAAGTTGATGCCTTAAAAAAAAGTCACGTTATTGGACATTTTAAATTCACAGTGATAAAATGAACAGGTGAGCTTCATGGACTAGCAAGAGAGCTTGTGTGTCCTTGGGTAAGCCATTTCACATCTCTGGGCCTCAGTTTCTGCCTCTGTGTGATGGGGATAAGAGTCATCTTGCCCCCACCCAAGAGTTATTGTGGAAATAGGTCACACACAAATAATGATCCTGCCTGGATCATTAAAAAAGCTAAATAAGTCTTAACTATATCTGGCCTGCAGAATACACAGAAGTTTAGAAAGGAAGCGAGACCCTTTTCTTCCCTAGAGGAGCAAATTCAGAAACTCTTCCATCCAGCACATGGGAAAGACGTAGACTACAGCTCTGCCTCCCTCAGAGAGGTCTGAACGCACGTGGAAACAGATGGGTAGAGAAGCCGGTGTTGTTAACGGTTTAGGAGACTTTTCCAGCTCCCCAGCTGAGGGCATCCATCCAGCTGGGAAAATCCTTAAAGGGCTGGACTCGTTTATACTTTTTTCCATCTTAAATACTTGGACTTTTTCAGGTTTATAACAAAGCTCACAAAAATGCTAAAGCTTAAAGGAGAATTGCGAACTGCCAAGGGACTGAAAGATGAGGTAAGGCTCCCAGCTCCTACATATGTGAAGGTGAACCTTTGTGGAAAGGGATCTCTTGCAAGCTCCATGCCTCCAAATTCCAGGTATACCCATCAGAAAATACCACAGACAGAGCAAGCCACAGACCATAGATTTAAGCCTCAGCAGCACTGGGTCCACATCTAACAACAGAGTAACCTGGACCGTGCTGCCCACTCTCTCTGAGCCTCCTTCACCTCACCTTAGAAGTATACATGATGAGCGGGATTTCAGATGCTTGCTAGGTAGCTACCAGGCACTGGGTGTAAAAGCACCTAATAGACATTTTCTATAGTTGCCAACATCTCTTTTTATCTGGTAGGATGTCGAAATGGAGTTTTCTGCTTTGTGTGGTTAAAGAGTTGGCCAAATTCTATGTAGTAATTCCTTCGCTGTTCCACAAAGGATGGAAAAGGTCCATTGGGGATAAGTGTAGAGATGTCTCACGTTGGCATGGGCTCCTGCCAACAAGTAAGCTGCTCCTAACCCAAACATTTGTGCTGCTTCCCTGCTGGGTTACTACCACCATACGGGACCTGCTGCTAGTTCTGCTGGGAACAAGGGTCTGGTGTAAACTTTCTAGGCTATTTTTTTTTTTCAATTTAACGTATGTCTTTGGAACACCTTCAATGTGCCAGGCATTGTTCTAGGAGCTGGAGGTTCAAAAAGCAAATGAAATAGAGATCTCTGTTCTCCTGGAGCCTGCCCTCTATCAGACTAGCCCCTCAGGACATGATGGCCCAAAGTATGAAGGAATTCCTGAAGTGTCAACAAAAAGCAACTCACATTTCACAGGTAGCCAATCTCTGCCATATACTGTGTGTATCCTAAAGTACCTACTTGCATGTGTGCCAGTGCCACCGGATTTAACATGTCCATATTATTTGCTATGCGAGCAGAGCTATTTCTAAAATTTCTAAAATTTGAATGACTTTCCATTAATTCCCATCCAAAGTAATACAAAAACTTCAATGTTTCTATAAAATTAAACTTGAGATTCTGGTCAGCAATATCCATATTAGTGTTTGAAATTACTGTTAATAAGTGTAAACCCAATTATCACAAGTAAAATGTAAAAATTCCTGAGGCAACATTAGTTTTTATGGCTTTGATTTCGTAAAGTATCATTACATTTATCTATTTATAGGGGCACGGTGGAGGTCAGAAAACAACTTCCACCTCGTGGGTCTCTGATCTCCCATTCAGTTCCTGCGGTTTGGGGGGCCAGCGTCATAACCTGCTGAGACATCTCAGCCCCAGCTTTCGGCTTCCTAAAGCACAACGCTCACCTACACCAGGGGTTGTAGGATTGTGAGGGTTAAAGGTGGCTTTCCACTATTTGTAGAAGATTTGTCTTCATCCTTAGAGAATTTGTCACAGACGATTACCCGAGTCACCATTTGACGCCAAAGCTAGCCTAGAAATTACAACCCCAGTTTTTCAAAGCTGCCTTGTTCAAGTCTCCAAACCGCCAGAATGCCACCATTTTGAATCTTAGATATTCTTTTCTCTCAAGTGCTGCTGAGTCATAAGCTTAAGTCTGACACAGCTCGACCTGAGAATAGACATGAATCTATTTGTCAGCCCTTTAAAACTCAGTGCCACATGCAGTCCCCCTCTTAAGACACGTGTTTGAGGAGCTCTGCTAATTAACCGAAGGCTTGCTTAACCCATGCAGAACTCACTCTCATTGAATAGCTTATTTTCCAGGCTCATGGAGGCAACTGCAGTATTGGCATTTGCTATTTTACCTGTGGGTTGGTAGCTTGGCCAGCGTCATGTGCTTCCTGGGTTGTAGCTCAGCCAACTACAAGTGCTTCCAGGCAGAGTAGCCAGCCAGGATGGAATCTTACATAAGTAAAACTGGGTATCTGAGTCCTCGGCTTATGCAGATGAAACCTCTCCTAGCAACAGAGGTTTGTTATTTCAGACGTCACTAACAACTTCAGATCCATGATGAGATCAGATGGTACCCAAGAATCAGCAGCACTACAGCTCTTGGTCTGTCTCCTACCCCAGTACTGCTGACAGAGCTGTGATTGACAAAATGTCGGAATAGATCCATACCTAATGCATATTGATACTCTAAAGGCATCTGCCTGGAAATTCATTCTACAGAAAGGACCTGGGATTATAAATAGTTCACAGCTAGTGTTTTGTAGAAGATATTATAAATTAGATCTACTAGGACCCCAGGAACACTCGCCTTTCTGAAGTTTCTGAGCACAGCCACTTCATACAACTAACTGCATTTAAAATGGATGCTGGGGAGCATCTCATTGCTCTTCACGAGCCTTCGCTCCTGCTCTGATACCTCAAGACCTCCATGATTTGCTGTTTAGGAATGAATGAACCGTTACATTTTTATTTTAGCAAATTTCATCTGACATCTAGCAAAACACATTTGCTATTCAACTGGTTTAAGGAACTGCAAAGGAAGGCGATTTCTCCCAAGCCTCTTGTTTTATGAATGAAGACATTTCCTTAGAGACCCCAAGCTGATCCTAAATATCCAAATAACATGACGCTGAAGGCCCGCTCTGAATTCCTGGGGGTAGACAGGAAGGGGGTAACATTAGGCTTTCTACTCAGAGGGTAGTCCAACCTCTAGAGAGCGGATGTTTTCACTAGTATGAGAAAGTGCATTAAACTGTTAACTTGGGGAAGCTCAAGTTGAGTCTCATCGGCTTTGTAGTATGGAGCCCTCGGTGGACGTGGCTCCATTCCAAGCAACCCTAGGACACGGTCCTCACCTTAAGATCAAAATCAGCATCAAGACGAAGGTGCAGAGCATTCTCAGACCCTCCTGTAGGGCAAGCATGGCATTGGTACCTAATTCACAGATGATAGAAGTGATTTTGTAGCCAGAGCCGAGGGACCCTGAGCATCCCCTATGAGTTTCCACACCATCCCTTGTAGCACAACCATGAGAAAGGCCTCTACGGTGCCAGGGTGAAGCAGCTGCTCCCTCACTGGGACCGTGCGTCTTGTTTTCAAGTTAAAAAAAAAAAAGTGTCTGCATGCCAATTTTTAAAACCACCTTCTGCACACATTCTCTTAAGAGAGTCCCTGGTAATTGTCTTAATGGTAATCACAGGCCTGGGGCAGTTGACGTCCAATGTGATTTTTCTGAAAGTGAGGAGTGAGGGACAGGAGCTGGGAAGGGGGAGGGAGAGTTTTTGAGATAATGAAATCCTTTTAATGACAAAGCCGAGCCGTTAACCTAATTAAACTATAAAGTGATGGGGGGGAGGGGGCTGCAGGTATTAAATGGAAATGGAGAAGTGAGTCAGCTGAGACCGAAGGCTTCTGGGAACCCTCTGGATTCCGGGTACCCTGGCACTGTGGTTCCAGCTCCCACACTGTCCTCTGGCCAACCTTGGCCTTGCTCAAAGGTCTTCCAAATGGACCAGCCCACTAATGCCTGATTTACTGTGTCCATCTCAGGCCTCTAGTTCCCACGGGAGTGTGTGTTGTGTAGTTCATGTATTCCAGAAGCCGCCGCGTCAGTGTGGTAGGGTGGCGGAACCCTGGCTCCATGGGTGATCCGCTGACCCTCCTCCTAACCAGATGTGAGGCTTTGGAAAGGCTGCTCAGATCCATGCCCCATTGCTGTGTCCCCTCCCCTGAATTCCTCTGGAAACAGTTGTTTTAAGGCCACTGGAGTCACCAGAGGCCTGGGAGTGCTTGGTCGCTCACATCCCATGGTGCAGTCCTTGGCCACTGTATCACTGGTATAGAGTTTGAGAACTCAACTCTCATTCCCACCAATCAAGATCAACTCTGAGATGTAATCATGCCCTGCATTGTCCTATAGGATCGGGCTAACATCAGACAAAGGCCTTCTGGGTAAATGTCCCCTTTAAGAGTTTCTTCCCCATCTCTCTTTGGCTCCCCAGCCCCACCTCCCTAACCAGTTTGCTGGTTCACATGGGAGCTGGGAACCTTTCTTTCCTTCTTCTTCCTTCTTTCCTCTAAAGCATGAAGAAGAGCGGTGCAGGCATAGGAAGGAAGCTTTCAGGGGTGCCGAATGCTCCCTGCTAAATTCTTCTCACATTACCACCACCCACGCTGGAAACCGGCATCGTGAGGGGGTAGAGAGCCTACCCACTCGCCATCGCTTTGTACCCAACCCCCCTCCCCACCCAAGTCGCTTCTCTCTGCACACTTTGTTTTGATCCGAGTCACTACTCTCCATTCTGATCTAGCAACAATTAGCTAACCCTTCTAACTCTTAATCAAAGTCAGGGGATCTTACTGATCAGGCCAGGCCTTTCTCTTTTGCTCCCAACGGTAAGCCTTGTAAAGAAAAGTGCTGGGTTAATAGGCGGGGGTGGGGGGCGAGGGGGGGCGGTGGTTAATGAATAAAGAGAAAGTTGAGAGGCTTCAGAATCCCTCATCAGTTCCATCGCTGATTCACTGTGGTCTTGACAAGTTCGTTTGACATCTCGATATGTTTATTTCATCAGTGGCAGACCATTAATATTTATAGACAGTTCTCCGGGTGCCTGGAACCATTCTAGGCCCTGACTTCCTCTTGAAAAACAGGGGAATTGTCTGATGCCCCCACAGCAGCGTGGCGAAGATTAATTAATATAAATAAGTAATCGTCTGACTAATGCAGGGCACTCAGACACCTCACCAATGGATCCCATGTAAATGTTACCCGAGATGAGTAATACCAGCAGAGAAGCGGCGAGCGGAGTCGCAGCAAATTCAGCTCCCGTTAAGTGAAGGAAGCAAGTATTTTCTCGGTCGCTCCTAACTGATGCTTTTGTTTTTTCTGGCTGCCTAGGCCGGGGAGAGAGACAGAGAAGTGAATAACCTGAACAGCAAGCTCTTGAGCCTGCAGCTCGACATCAAGAATCTCCATGACGTCTGCAAGAGACAGGGGAAGACCTTGCAAGAGAACCAGCTGTGTGTAGAGGAGGCCCTGATGAACACGAGCCACGTAAGGCACTGGGCAGTGGCTGCCTGCCTCGCCCCTCTTGACTACCGTAGCTTCTTTTGATGGAAACTAAAGAGAGTTCTCCTGTGAGTCACTCAGAGTACTGAATTACCAAGCAGGGAGGGAACTAATTTTACCACACGTGGTCTGATATAATTCCTAGTTTGGGGGCTTTTCAACCTAGCTATTTCCAGCATTATCACGATATTGGATATTATCTTTCTCCTTATCTGGATTTAGCTCATCCTGAAAATACTAGATCACAGTGATATAAGGGTGGGTCTCAGGCAAACTTCCGAGTTAGCCGTGGCGATGAATGCCACTGTGCCCGCTCTGAAGCATCTCTGCGTATCAGCTGACGGGTGTTCTTAAGGCCACAACTGTGCCTCGCTGCCTGGGAGCCGTTCTTCTGGAGGCTGGAATCCAGTCATTCCATCAGCACGTGCCGGATAGTCCTCAACCAATAACGGACAGATAGGGAGAAGACTGACCAAACTACCACATCCCTTTCCCCTCAGTCCAAGCTAACTCAAGGCTGGGGCCCTTTGCTCTCCCCCAGAATTCCTCCGTCGGACTGAGCCCAGTGGACCAGTCATAGCAAGCTTAACCTGCTTCTCCCCCTTCCTTGTCTCCATCCCTAACGTGGCTGAGTTTTCTACAACCACCTCCCACATAAGCTACTTGACCCTCAGTGCCTCGTTGTGGGGCCTGACTTCACAGCCCAAGCAGGTCAGGTGGTAACCCATCCCCTATTCAAATGTGAAAAGACAGACCTTACGCCTTGCCAGTCTTTCTCAAAACTGACTTTGAATTAACCCTCACCTCTAGGTCTAGACAGTGCACCAACTAAGCAATTTCCCTTCACCTTGAGGCTCTCTTTCTCTTAGCAAACTCGAAACCTGAAGCGTTTAAGCCAGTCTCTAAATGCATTGACACAAATCTGGGGAGCAGATGGAATGATTTCTGAGAATTCCGTACTCTGGCCCCTTTCTTTCTGATTGTAAACTGAGTTCCATGTAAACATAGCTACTGCTGCTCAGACCCTCGCGGAATCCCTGGGTTAGACCCCCAGCTGCTGTGTAGGTAGCCACACATTGCTGGCCTCTCCTCAATGCCTCTGTTAGCACGCTCCCAGGATGCTCCACTTCACAACATAAACCACACATTGTTCCCTGAAGCTGCCTGCATCCGCTACCAGCCAAGCAATTCCACCTCTTCTTACTGACCTTGCTCAGGAAAATCACCAAAAAAGTAAAAAAAAAAAAAAAAAAAAAAAAAAAAAAAAAAAAAAATCAGCTGGTTTTCCTAAATCAATCTCAGGAAGACGATCATAATTTATTTCTTTCTAAATATGAACATTGTAGGATATTTCCACTCACAGCTACCATGAGTTTACCTGTCGCCCCAGTTGGAGGAAGCCACGGGCTTATAAATGCGTCTGGCAGCTTAGAGGGAGAAAGGCATTAAATCGCATTTTATTATTCTAATTGCCCAGAAGAAGGTCTAACAGCTTGAGACAAGCTTTAAAACAGAGCTCTTTTTCCCTAGCACTTAGCGCAAAATCTAAATTGCACGCTATGCGTACCAACACACAATTACATGGAGACCTACACCCATCTCCTCGGAGCCCCTTCAAGACCTGCTTTCCGTGTCGACAAAGGAGAAACACCAGGCTTTCTGGAATTTTGACTAATACTGATGAGGAGCTGGGCAAATAGGCAGGAGGTCCTGATTCAGGACCATATTTCGGGGAGAAAAGTAAACCATTATATCAGATGTTATGTGTAACAAAGGAAAGAGAAGGAGGGAGAGATGGGTAATGGAAGAGAAAGTGCATGGCCCTATAAACCAAAGAACACGGACTCCAAACCCCAGGAGCAGAGCGGAGCTTGTGGCAAAGAGAATGAGGTTCTGGGACTGGAAAGAGGACTCGTGTTGAATTAGGAGAGGCGGGGCTGCGTCCCCGGCACCCGGCCGCCCGCAAGGCTAGCTTATGCCCGAAATAATTACACGGAAACTGTATTCTTTCAAACACTGCCTGGCCCGGCTAGGTCCAGTTTCTTATTGGCTAGCTCTTACATATTGTTCTAACACATTTCTAATATTCTGTGTAGCCCATGAGCTGGCTTACCAGAGAGGATCTTAACCTGCGTCTGTCTGGAGTGGGAGCATCATGGCGACTCTCTCACTAAGCTTCTTTTTCCCAGAATTCTCTTCTGTCTACTCTGCCTACCTACTTTTCTGTCCTATGAGGGCCGAGGCAGTTTCTTTATTATTACAAGACCCACCTCCATCA